TTAGGATAATATAATTGACATTGCTGGATTCCTTGTAAGACCAGGAACATTTTGAATATAAATGTCATATATTTTGCACAAAAGATAACATATTTACTCAGAGTAAACATTAGATCTAAAATTTGTATGTCTAATGCAAAATCTATGATGTTTATATTCAAAATGATCATCAAATTGTAAGAATTCCAGCAATGTAAATTATATTCTAGCCGGGTAATTTGTATGAATTTTATGAGCTAAAACAAATATCTTCAGTTAATAGAAAAAAAATATATTCTTCACACCGTGCCAGATGGTCGGTCTTTCCCTCCCTCCACCCCACCAACCCTCCCTACCAGATAAATGTGTGGGAAAACCAGAATATTTACCTTTTTAGTAATAAATAATACCTCAGACTAAAGTTAGGATAATATAATTGACATTGCTGGATTCCTTGTAAGATCAGGAATATTTTGAATATAAATGTCATATATTTTTGCACAAAAGATAACATATTTACTCAGAGTAAACATTAGATCTAAAATTTGTATGTCTAATGCAAAATCTATGATGTTTATATTCAAAATGATCATCAAATTGTAAGAATTCCAGCAATGTAAATTATATTCTGGCCGGGTAATTTGTATGAATTTTATGAGCTAAATTAAAAAAAAAAAAATTATACTTCACGCGTATATGGGTAGATGAACCGCGGAAAGTGAAAGTTCGGTTCTGGCGAGGCACCGCGTATATGAGAAATCGCGTAAAGTGAAACCGCGTAAAGCGGGGTAATACTGTAATGGTATTAATTGATTTGGGTCCTTAATTAACCAGGGTCTTAAATATGAATCGTCGTTAGTAGAACCGTCATTATTGGAGGCTTTAACGATATTCATTGAATATCCATCGATATTCATTGGTTAAATTTTTATTATCTCTAGAGCAAACTATGGGTTGTATATACTCAAATTAATTGTTGTCTTACAAAGATTCCAGCAGTGCAAATTATATTTTTCTACTTCAAGTCAGTGACATTTTATACGGAAACTATTTTTAACCTTATGCACCATGCATCTCTCCTTTTACTTATCTGCCTTATCCGTGCGCCGCCACACGGCCAACCCACTCTCTACAGCCCTCTGCTTAATTCTTTGTTGATCATAAACGCGCTATTGCATTGCTCCACAATTTTCGGTCAGCATGGTTCATTGTGCTTATCATCGATGTTTTTTTTTTATCCATAGTGAGAGAACAGCATCCTCATTCAGATTGAACTGTTCTGGTGATTGTGAAATTATATTTTCTGTGTTTTTGTGACTGTAAGGTGCTTCGCGTCTGTTGTTGTGAAAATGATGTGAACAGTGTCGCATGTTATCATTGTTTTTGTGTGACAAATGCTTTTGCTCTGTTTTTGTGACTGTGGAGTGAGGAGTGTAACTTTAAAAATGTCAGGGAAGGCCAAGGCATCCAAGATAACCATGGATTTGAGGTGAAGCTTGACTCCCCAGAATCTGTGTGGGAGTCAGAGTGATGTTTCCACTCCACCTACAAGAGTCCCCTTAGCCTCAAAGGGGACATGCAATGATGACCAGGGTTATTCTTCATGATGTGGTGAATGTTGTTTAATTGTTTTCTATTGATTTTATAAGTGTAGGATTTTTTCGTTGATGATACATGTGTGTTTGGGGACTGGCTGGGAAATTATCCCATTGAACCCCGTGTTATAATGCTCCCTATCTACATTATTTCACTTTTAGGAACCTAAGCCCATTGTTTATTGGGGTTTACCTGTACAGTAAGTCCTCGCTTAACGTCGGGGTTACGGTCCTATAAAATGCTATGTTTTACGAAACAACGTTAAGCGGATCAATTTTCCCCATAAGAAATAGATAAAATACGGGAGTTATGTTCCTGAGCCTCCCCTTGCCCCATGAAATACATTACATATACTGTACAGAAACTCATTGCCATTTCTATAGAAAATAGAGCATACATATACAACTACTAAGTTTGTATTGGTACTCACCGATGGGTGGAGGTGGTAGAGCGAGTGTGCAGTGGGTTACGTAGTGAAGCGGAGGAGGCGTTTGGCGGGAGGGGAGGAGTATAGCGGGAGCGAAGGAGGAGGAGGGCAGGAGCGGAGGAGGGCGTGAGAAGAGGAGTGTGGTGAGTCATTGAGATTCTGCGGTTGCCTCCTCCTCCTCCTGTGCTGACTGGGGTTCCTCTGCCGCTGTTTGCTCCTCCTCCATTGAAGTTTGCTCCTCCTCCATTGTTATTTGCTCCTCCTTGGCTGCTGAATGTTGTGAAGAAGCTGCTTCTGCCGTCCTGCGACGTACAAATGAATCCAGTGTTGACTGCTTGGTGCTACTCTTCTTCTTCTTATACATCTCTAGTGTAACAACCAAGACTGTCATCAATGCTGCGTTGAACCTTTGAGCTATGTTCTCTGTTTGGGTCATCATATACAAGGATTTGCATTGCTTGCTGGATCATGTTGAACGATTCTGCCATCCTCTTGGAAGTTAGCGTTCGTTGAGGTTCTTCTTTGTCGTCGTCGTCGTCTTCAACAGGACTGTGTTCTGTTAGTTGTTGCAGATCTTCGTTGGTGAGCCCTTCTGTATGGGATGCCAGGACGTCCTCAATTCCTCTGATTCCAGCTCATCAAAGCCTGCCTGTTTAGCCAAGCTGAGTATATCCCTATTCACAGCTGGGACTAAGTCCGTGAATCCCGTAAAACTGTTGACGCACTCGGGCCACAATTTACCCCACACACCATTCAGGCAACTTTCTGAAACCTCTTCCCATGCCTTGCCAATGTTGTCAATTGCATGAAGAATATTGAAGCCACACCAATATTCTCGGATCGTGGGTTTGTTTTCTTTGTCTGTAGCCTTGAGCAGCTGGGCCATGGTACGGCATTAATAATACGCCTTGAATGCGGCGATGACGCCTTGGTCCATAGGCTGCATCCGTGCTGTCGTGTTGGCAGGCAGGAGTACAACTTTTACACTCATGCAAGTCGTCGAGATTGGGAGGGTGAGCTGGAGCATTGTCAACGATCAGAAGAATTTTGAAGTCAAGGTGCTCCTTGGCACAGTATTCCTTCATTGCAGGGACGGCATACACGTTTAACCACAGGCTAAATAAGGCGCAGATTATCCATGCCTTTTTGTTTGCCTTGTAAATGACAGGAAGGTGATCCTTAGAGTAACCTTTCAGGACCCGTGGGTTAGCAACGCGAGAAATCAACATCAGCTTCAGCTTGAAGTCACCGGCAGCGTTTGCGCCAAGCAGCAGAGTCAAGCTGTCTTTTGCCGCTTTAAAACCTGGCGCTCTTTTCTCCTCCTTGGAGATATAGGTACTCTCAGTTATCCTCTTCCAAAAGAGACCAGTCTCATCCACACTGAAGACTTGCTTCGATGAGTGTCCTCCTTCCTGGATAATCCGTTTGAATTCTGGCGGGAATGTCTCGGCAGCAACCGTATCTGAACTGGTAGCTTCACCGGTCATCTAAATATTGTGGAAGTTATACCTGCGCTTAAATCGTTGAAACCAGCCTCGGCTGGTCGTAAAGGTCTGTTCCTTCTATCCTTCACCCTCTTCTGTCAAATAAGGATCTGGCCTTATGCTGGATAACCATAAGGCTCACAGGCGCATTGCATTGATTCTGGTCCTCCATCCACATAGCCAGCATCTTTTCCCCTTTTTCTATCACCGTACTTATAGTACGAGTTGTATTAGTTGCACTGAGAGTAGTACCACTTCCAGCACTAACCTTAATCTTGTCAGCGTTGGTCCAGATAGTGCGCACCGGTGTTGGGGTTAGACCAAGCACAGCGGCTCTGTCCACAGCGCGATCACCTTTTTTAAATCGGCTTAATACATCCATTTTCGTAGCACTAAGCATCAGTAGCACTTGATTGGCACTTGGAAACCATTTTGAAGGGTTATAGTACAGTTTTACAGCGATAGCACTTAAAGCACAAACGAATAATGTGAAGTTGTAACAGAGACTGGCTTGGCGTCGCTTGGGGATGCTGTGACGTTCCGCGAGTGAGGGCAGCGCGCCGAGCCGAGAGAGTGTAGCGCGGCCAGACAAGAGCGGGTGATGCGCCGTAGAAAGTAGTCCGTGATGACGCAAAATGATTTGGTATTTGATCCCCGGGACGTTAAAAAAATTTTTGGTCTCTAAAGTTTAGCCACTTAGTACCGAAGCAATGTTAAGCGGGACGACGTTATACGAGGTTGCACTGTATTCTTAAGTTAACGTACAGCTTGACACTGTGAGCAGGGGTAGATCCATGGGAGTCCTGGGGTGTCCAGATCCCCCCTTTAACTAGAAAATTGTATTCAGGCATTTTTGTATAGTAAAAAGTATTTACTATTGACCTCAGAATATCTCCTAATATTAAGTGCACATGGCAACTTCTTGGACCCCCCACTTTTGATATTCCTGGATCTGCACTTGGTGGGCAATATACAAGGGAAGCCAAGTGAAAAATATATTCTGGAAATTTATCATTTGGTATGCTATTTGAGTGACCTTGTGTAAAAGATGTTGTAATTTTGCCATATAACTTTCTTTTCAGGAATTGGAAAAGTGGAGGGATAGGAAGGGAATTAGTACATGTGTACGTGAAGTTGATGGCAGTGGTGGCCAAGTGGACACAATACTTTCCTCTTCTCATAACTTGATCCTGGGCCTCTCCCAGTCTACCCAAGTGTAAATTAGTTTCAAACTTTTCAGTTAGGAAAGGCAGTTGAGTGCAGTGCCAGCTATGCTGCCTCCTTTCATGCCAAAGACTTAGTATAAAGTGTGCTGTATCTACACTGTCTATAGCAGGCCAATATGCTGCCTATGAGACCAACTCTCACTTTCATGTGATGCAATGAGGATATTGAAGGAAATTGCATGAGGACCTGCTTCCAGTATTATATTTAAAATGGTACGGTATTCGGTGATAATGGTAATTAATTTGGTTAAGGTGTAATTTAATAATGTTTTTTATTTTATCTTTCAGATGAAATTGGGTGTAAAATGATCCACATTAGTACAGACTATGTGTTTGATGGCTCTGCCCCTCCCTACACAGTGGAAGACAAGTGCAACCCTCTGAGCAAGTATGGCCAGACAAAGTTAGATTCAGAACAGGCCATCTTGACTGAAGTTTCTAGTAAGTAGCCCAGTTATGCAGGTGTAGGGGTGCAGATTTTAAGTTATACATTTCATTACTGTACAGTAATACCATTTGTAAGGGGGGGGGGGATTTTTTTTTTATTCCCCTTTAACAATAATTCCTACTTTTTGTTTATATTCTTTTGTTTGAGGTTATCTGGGAAAACTGTCATTGTTCATTAGTACAGTGAGTTCTGCTATAACGCGTGTTTTGACAACACGAATTGGCTGTAACGCGATTTATGAATAGAGGAACGATATTTGTGTAACGCGAACGCTTGTTTGCTGTAACGCGATTTTTGCTTACTATTTGTCCAATTTTGTGGTATTAACTGTTGTATATATATATATATATATATATATATATATATATATATATATATATATATATATATATATATATATATATATATATATATATATATATATATATATATATATATATATATATATGTATGTTTATATGCTGCCTTTATTGAATATATATATTATATATTATGTTACTTCTTACCAAAGTCAGAAAGTGTTTAGGCTTGTGTAAACACGAAATGTGTTAGGCACGTTGTAACCAAGAACAGAGAATAAACGCCCAGCCAGACCGACCATGTGCTTGTCATTCTCCCATTAAATAACGCAAGATACTACACTGGCGACGAGGATGGGATTCACAAAGTGTTGGTGAAGTCCTTGAAGAGAGGATAGTGACCACTGAAGGGAAGGCTACTCTGAACCTGGAGAATTTAAGTGAAGAGAGCAACCATGGCTGGCGTCAGTGGATACATCGGACGAGTGGGGGAGTATGATGCAGACAAGGAAGATTTCACATCATATTGTGAGAGAATGGACTTCTTCTTTCTGGCAAATGAATTAATGGACGACGGTGGTGATGCTCAGAAGAAGAAAGCCCTTCAAGAGAAAAGGAAAGCAATCTTTTTGACAGAGGTAGGAGCTAATGTTTATTCTACTCTGGTCAATCTGCTTACTCCAGACAAACCCAAGGACTCCTCACTGATTCAGATTACCAAGATTCTGAAGCAACATTTTGATCCTGCTCCACTTGAGATCGCTGAAAGTTACAGATTTGGCACCAGAGATAGAGGTAAAGATGAATCAGTAAGTAATTATATAGTAGCTTTGAAGAAGTTATCCATTCACTGTAACTTTGGACAGTTCTTGAACCGAGCTCTAAGAGACAGGTTTGTAATAGGCCTGAATTATGAAAAAATACAGAATAAGTTAATGAACACCACTAACTTAACTTTTGAAAGTGCATGTCAGATAGCTACAAGCATGGAATTGGCCGAGAAAAACACCAGAGAATTTGTTCCCAATGCTGGTAGTGAAACAGTTAGCAGTAGTGGCTCAGTGTGTAAAGTAACTGTAGCTAAAAGGAATAAGTATACCACAAAACAAGGAACACATGCTGATTTAAAATGTAAGAGGTGCCGAGGGAAACATGAAAGCTTTCAGTGTAAGTTCAAGAATTCAAAATGTTACAATTGTCAACGTATTGGACATATTGCTCCTGCCTGTAGAAGTGATAAAGGTAGAGTATATGCCGTTGAAGGTGGAGAGAAGGAAATGAAAAACAGTATTCATGAGAGTGTTAGTAATTTTGGATCTGATAATGATGAGAGTGCCCATGTGTTTACTATTTAAACCAGTCGTGAAGAGAAAGTTAAACATAGGTATAATGTGGACTTGTGTATTAATGACACACCTGTAACCATGGAAATGGATACTGCAGCTGATTTCTCCATAATGAGTAAAGATATGTATGAGAAACTATTTGCGCATGTGCCTTTAGAAGACTCAGGTGTCAAGTTGAGAACTTATACTGGAGAGATTTTGAACACAGAAGGTAAATTAGAGTGTGAGGTAAAGTACAAAAATCAGAATTTAAAGTTGCCATTAATTATAGCTAGTTATGTGAATAGACCAACTTTGTTTGGTAAGAACTGGTTGTGTGAACTTGAGATGGACTGGAAGGAGATATTTAGTGTTAGAATGTGTAACAGTATTCCAGGTCTTGAGAAATTGCTTGAAAAATACAAGATTTTATTTGTAAAGGGACAGGATGGTATAAAGGGTTATGAAGCTCATATCACCATTGACAAAGATGTTACACCCATATATGCTAAGTCCAGACCTGTTCCTAATGCATTGAAAGGTGAGGTTGAGGAAGAATTAGACAGACTTGTGAGTGAGGGAATTATTGTGAAAACCACCACGAGCATTTGGGCTGCTCCAATAGTAATAGTACCTTAAGCTGATAAATCTGTTAGACTATGTGGTGATTATAAAGTTACCATTAATCAAGCTGTTGAGGATGAGCAATATCCCTTACCCACATCTCAAGATTTGTTTGCTGCACTAACAGATGGAACCATTTTCACTAAGTTAGACTTGTCCCAAGCATATGCTCAGGTCTCTGTTGATGCTGAAAGTCAAGAGTACCTTACCATCAACACTCATAAAGGATTGTATAAGTTCAAAAGGTTGCCTTATGGTGTTAAAAGTGCACCAAAGTTATTTCAGTGCATCATGGACAAAATTCTTGTGGGTCTTCCCAATGTGTTATGTTTTCAGTATGATGTCCTTATTGTTGACAGTGACATCCAAAATCATGTCAAAACCCTAGCCACAGTATTCGAAAGATTGTTGGCACACAATGTCAGGCTCAACAAGAGCAAATGTTCATTCCTAGCTAAAGAAGTAACTTATCTTGGCTACTGCAGAAGGGCTGAGATCTGTAGAAGATAAAGTAGGAGCCATAGTAAATTTACCTGCTCCAAAAAATGTCAGTGAATTGAAAGCTTTCCTATGTATGATACAGTATTATTCAAGGTTCTTGAGTGGACTTTCATCAGTTTTAGCCCCTCTGCATGAACTATTAAAGAAAGGGATACCATGGAAATGGAACAGTGCCACTCAGAAGTCATTTGAAGATTATAAAGCTGCTCTGTCTAGTACTGATGTTTTGGTCCACTATGATACCAGTAGAACACTAAAGCTTGCTTGTGAAGCATCGGGCTATGGATTAGGTGCTGTCATAAGTCACATAATGGATAACGGTGAAGAAAGACCCATTGCATATGCCTCGAGAACTCTTACCCAAAGCGAGAAAAATTATGCACAAATAGAGAAAGAGGCTTTGTCTATCATATTTGGAGTAAAGAAATTTCACCAGTATCTATATGGGAGGAATTTTGTTTTAATACCTGATCACAAGCCTCTTTTGGCAATTTTGGGTCCTAAATCACCTGTTCCGACACTTGCTGCAGCAAGAATGCAGAGATGGGCTTTGATATTGTCGGCATATGTATATGAGATACAGTACAGACGTTCAGATGATCATTCCAATGCAGATGCTTTGTCAAAGTTGCCATGTAGTGGATCAAATGATGGAGTAGAGCCTAAGGTTTATGCTGTAACTATGATAGCAGAAGATTTTCCAGTCACCTCCGGAATGATTGCTCATGAAACTAGGAAAGATGTTGTATTAGGAAGAGTCATGGAGTATACACTAATTGGATGGCCAGAGATTTGTCCATCCTTAGACTTTCAACTGTATCATTTAAGGAGATGTCAATTATCAGTAGAACAGGGATGTGTGTTGTGGGGTATGAGAGTGTTAATTCCACAGTGTTTCAGAGGGCAAATTTTGAATGAACAGCATTTTGAACATCCAGGTATATGTGCTATGAAAGCACTGGCCAGAAGTTTTGTGTGGTGGCCTAAACTGGATGGTGAAATAGAAATGATGGTACTTGAGTGCTCTGTTTGTCAGAATGTTAGGAGTATGCCACCCAGCACACCTTTGAAAACCTGGAAATGGCCTACCCGTCCCTTCCAAAGAGTACACATTGATTTCTGTGATAAGGGAACAGACAAATTTCTTGTATTAATTGATAGTCATTCAAAGTGGATTGATGTTAAGCACATGTACAGTACTAATGCTGGTAGCGCCATTGATGAATTAAGATTAATATTTGCCGAACATGGAATACCAGAAGAGGTAGTTTCTGACAATGGTCCTCCATTCCAATCATCAGAGTTTAAAAACTTCATGAGATTCAACGGTGTAAAGCATGTACTGACCCCACCCTATCATCCTGCCTCTAATGGTGCAGCTGAGAGATCAGTTAGAATTGTAAAGGGAGCACTTTCCAAGCAGGTAATTCAAGGAACTGTAGGAAAATCAATGAAACACAGACTAGCAAATTTCTTACTCAGATACAGAACCACGCCACATAGTGTGACAGGATGTACTCCTGCAGAGTTAATGGTGAAGAGACAGTTGAGAACAAGATTAAGTTTAGTTAAGCCAAGTCTGTTTGAAGTTGTAGAGAGGAAACAAGCTCAACAAAAGATGTATCATGATAAGAGTTCCAGTGAAAGAGTGTTCAAGGTAAATGATAGGGTGAGAGTTAGGAATATGGCTAAAGGTTATGGTACTGTACATGCAAAGTGGATAACTGGTGTCATTGACAAGGTATGTGGATCTAGGACATATTTAGTGAAATGTGGTAACTGTTCGAGATTTGTTCATGTGGATCACATCATTCAGGCACATGACGAGATGAATGTAGCACCAGGACATGATGATAAACTTGACACAGTTTCAGATGATCATCATCATGATGATGTCAAAGATGATGTTCCCAGCATCCACTCACTGTGTCAACTGATTGTAGTGATGATATGTCTGTCACTGATAATGCACAGAGTGCAAGTGAAACCCCTGTAAAACTTGATGGAGGGAATAGTCCTAGAAGATCAAACAGAGTTAGGAGACCTGTAATGAAATAGACCTCTGATTACCTGAATTGTGAACAGGCCTTTCAAAACTGTTTAATTAGGAACTTATATTTGTTGTGTTCTATTCCCTTCTTCCCTCCCATATGTAATTCTGTAAGCATTGTTTATTTAGGATTTGTAGCAGCCATGCTCTCTTTTGAAAGGGAGAAATTGTGTTATATATACAGTCGACCCTCG